GCTCAGTGTAATGCTCTGACGCTGGGAACAGCTGACACGTGGGCCATTGCCAAGTCGGTCATGCCGAATGTCCTGTTGAGCCGTTTTAGATCGTACAATGGTGCAACGTTTACAGTGCTGGGCACAGGGTGGCCACTGACGATCAACAGGTTGGGGCCCAATTAACAGTCAGCTCAAGTGCAGCTCCCTTATTTAGAGTTCAGAAAAACTTGCGTCACATCTTGCCCATCACTATAGGCTACAAACTGGTTGAGAAGTTTGAATGCCTTATCAAGATTTTACAACCCCATTCAGTGAATAACAACATCTCTATACATCCTTTGAAACACACCGAGATATGGATGACTGAATGGAGGGTAACCAAATTATGGTTGTCAAAGTACATAGATTTCTGCCGTGTTCATCTTCCTCGAACAGTTGACGTCTGGTTGCGAGGACAAAATTTCCTACCCGACCCTCCCCAGAGTACCCACTGCGGTCCGTCAGACAAGCACCAAATCTCACCGTCCACTTTCACACCTTTTGTACTTCCTACCTACTGTTACATCAGACGTGTGTGATTTGATCAGTATAACCAGTTTTCTCAAAATCCTTCTGACCAGCTCAAATTTCGATTTGAAGTAGCTGACCACGCGGGAAAAATTTCATTTGACTGTTCATCACTACGAAAGTGTACATTTCATCTGCACTGCTTGTTCCAACTTGCGCGTTTGTAATGTTTGCAACACACTAATGTGCCAAATTAGTTGTGTAGAAACCTTATTCTGTAAGCTTCGATTTCTCCCCCCCCCCCCCCATGGCGTTCACCATAGCGTCCTCTTTTCGCGGCGCACTTTGGCCTTTAGGATGTGCGTCTCAAATCTCAAACTGGATCTTGACAGCGACGAAAACGGCCAGGATTCTAGATATACGAGTGAACGGAAAATGCCCCCTTAAGTAATTCTCGATACCGCTGCAATCTCGTCCGTTTGACACTTGATCCGATTCTCATAATTCGCTTGATGCCTTGCAACTGGCGATTTCTGCGAGACGAAATCAAGGGCGGATCCAGAAGGAAAGGTGCCAACCAGGCCGTGCTCGTCCAAAATGACCAGAGTCTTGCAAGAAATGGCTTCTCTAGGGTCTCTGGATTTTGAAAGAAAGCAGAGTTAGTTTTACCAAGGGAGTTTCTTTTGGAACACTCGTACAAAAGAAGCGAAATCCTTTGAGTTATAAAAATAGGGGTGTCATTTGACCTTTTGCTGACAAGTTAACGTCGGTCCCCTAACATGGCGTTTTGAATTCGCCTTCGGGCGAAATACGCAGTCCTTTCATCTACGGTAAAGTGATCACAAACACTGCCTAACCCAGGGGTATAATTTTGTATTCAGCTGGGGAAGGCGCCACAACCTCTAACTTTCAGTACATAACATCGGCCTGCGCAAATAGCCGCACTCGAGCGCACGCGCCCCTACTTATTAAATTCATGGCATAAATTAATATGTACGAGACCAAATGTTCACGACATAAAATTCCAGGAAACACGCAAGAGCCTGAACATGTGACTGAATTTGGATTATGGGGTGTAGACTATATATGTATACACGCATTACACATGTGAGCATGTACAATCAGTTACATCCATGTCAACCAATTTGGCGCTGTGTGGTCGCAAACAAGCGCCATTTGTTTACTAAGAGCCCTCCATAAGTGGTCATGATATCGATCCGAGCACTCCCCAGCCCGCTGGTATCGCTCTGAACACCGCAATGACAGTGACCTATGCCTATATCGCTTGAAGTCCATGGCAATCCAGGTGTCACCGAGAAGGGTGCAGGTCACCGAGGATATATATATATATATATATATATATATATATATATATATATGCTGGTTTCTAAGCAAATACATAAAGTTTCGAAGATGCCTGGCAACATGCAGCATTCAACGCTCGAGCGTGGAGGTGAAGTCAACTTCAAGTCTAACCTTCAGCTAACGTGAAGGGCCTCTTTGAAGACCACGTGTAGAATTGGCGTCTGAAAACGTACTGAAAACGGTGTGTTGATATCACCCCCCGCGTGTTTAAATCTCACCAAACTCGTCAGGGGTACCTAAAGTCTTGGCCCTCCGTGAGCGGCCGATAAGTGGCCTCGGGACCGATTTTGGCAGCGCATGTTTTCAGACTGTACGGAGCCACCTAGCGCCAAGCTGTGTTTCTGGCGTGTTAGTGTTCGCCCACCCTCATCCTTCCGGCGGGCTGACCGACACGCACGCTTCCTCGACCTCGCACGATGGTCGAGATCCGGCCGGCGATGCTGGTAGTCAAGACGCCGATTCTCGTACTGTTCCGCCGCCCCACCGGGGAACGCACCTAAATTGAGGAGCGCCGATAACTTGCTGGCAACACGATTCCAATAGCGACCCTCAAAAGTTCATGCTATTACTGTGTAAGTTAATCCTGGATCTCACAGTTCAACGTTTTGAGTAGGCACGTGATCTTGGCGGCCTTGATCGCACGTCCAGGATTGCGAAATTCTCGTAGCATTTTACGAGGTTAGCCAACACCGATATCCTTAAATCGTGTTCTGCAACGACCGTGATTGCACTCACAGCTATTTTAGGTATCTCGCTCACAATTTGAGGCCGGAGGGAAAGTGCCAGTGGCTGCGGTGGCTGCCAATAAGTAACCAGTTTCTCTGAAAGTGTTTCGGTGTGGTATTTCCGTAGGCAGGCCGTTTTCGGCGACGTCCAAAGATTGCTTTTGACCGTTTGAGATATGCCTTTGGGAATGGGAGTATCACATCATCCATGTGACGCATTGTTTCAAACTTTAACTAACAAAGTCTCAGTAACAGGCCCTTACTCGATGGGCCAACCGCAAACGTTCTTTTAGCCGTACCAGTAGAGGTGTGCACGGTCATTGTCATGACGACAGTGGTCACGACTGCAGGGTATAAGCGCAGTGCTGTTACAAAGCGTTAATGACGTAATTTGGACTCGAAAATAATTAAAATTGCTATCCTAAATATTTCTTAACGGTGCCGCAGTAGCACTACCCAATGATCTAATCAGACATAATTAGTCCTGAGGTTTCACTAGCGTATGCTTATGAAATATGTCCCAGAGGTGGAACACTTCCTTTAAAGGGAATGTTCCACATTTACATGGGGTTTTTAATTGAAACAGCCATTCTGAAGACCTTCCAGCGCTGTTCCCAATCCAGCCTTTCTTAAGACCTAAGCCACTCCAGTTTCTGAGCTACACACCCGCGAAAATGGGGGGAGTATTTCAAAGCGACTTTGGCATTCATGACGCCATAATAATGCCATTCAAATTCTGACATTTCATGAGCTACACGGCTATCAAGGCCAAGAAAATGTAATTTTCGAGGCGCTCATATCTGGCGTTCATGAGCACGACTTGCAGATATAACAGCCCTCAATTGGCTCTCAATCAATGTTGTGCAGGGTACGATTACGTAATCACACCATGACGCATTAAGGAGCATATTTACTAAATGGAGAATTGTGCTGTTCTAGAGCAGTCTTTTCTTGAGTATACCAATAATTATAGTGAGCTTGCTTCATCAAGCCTGATCTTTGCTTCAATATCTTCAAATGTGAAATTTGAAGACACATTCCCTTCGAGCAGACCTCATCTGGCACTGCAATACAGACCTCAGTCTTCACTCTGCGCTGCGATCAGTCACGGAACTCAACACTCACTGTCCGCTATCCTCACTGTCCGCTAAGCCCGCCAGACAAACCCAGACACACACAATTCGCTTCGGTTGATAGACCGTGACTCCCACCGGACCTGTCCGCCGCCGTCTGTCACTCGCCTGACCCGTCCTCCGCCGTCTGTCACTCATCGGATCCGTCCTCCGCCGTCTGTCACTCACCTGACCCGTCCTCCGCCGTCTGTCACTCACCGGACCCGTCCACTGGCGTCTGTCACTCACCTGACCCGTCCTCTGCCGTCTGTCACTCACCGGATCCGTCCGCTGGCGTCTGTCACTCACCTGACCCATCCTCCGCAGTCTGTCACTCACCGGACCCGTCCTCCGCCGTCCGTCACTCACCTGACCCGTCCTCCGCCGTCCGTCACTCACCATATCCGTCCTCCGCCGTCTGTCACTCACCGGATCCGTCCTCCGCCGTCTGTCACTCACCGGATCTGCCCTCCGCCGTCTGTCACTCACCGGATCTGTCCTCCGCCGTCCGTCCCTCACCGGATCCGTCCTCCGCCGTCTGTCACTCACCGGATCCGTCCTCTGCTGTCTGTCACTCACCGGGCCCGTCCTCCGCCGTCTGTCACTCACCTGACCCGTCCTGTACCGTCTGTCAGCCGCAGGCGGATGGTGAATGGCCGGGCCTGGCGCTTGGGCCGCCGCCTTGTCTTGCTGCGACACGAGAGGTACGGCCAGCCAGTGTGGTCGAGCCGTGCGCCCCACGTCAAACTCCAAGTCCACTGAGACGGCGACAGCGCCGGCCCGGATATACGGGAACGGAATGCGTCTCGTGCTGCGGGACAAGGTCCGGCTGAGTCAGCACGTTTGCTGCAACACACTGCCAGCATTCACACAGACGCATCCGTGAGTGCTGCTTAACAGGCTGGCATATCACATCACGCATTATTATATTATCATAACGTATCACGTCATGCCATATTATAATCACCATGTCCTCCTTTCACACAACGGATTAGTTACAAGCACAACACATTCGCATCGCAGCGTGATCAAAATTTGGGGTTTACTTTCTATGACTGATCGACAAATTAGCAGGCAAACGTGTGCTTTGTAACTGTAGTCTTCAGACGATGGTTTGTGTGATGTGTATGACTTCTGTTTCAACTAGCTGCAGCGTGCTGCCACTGAGCACGAATTTTCAGCACCTGCTAAAGTCCATGCCATCACCATACTACCGAGAACGAAAACGAGCACGATCAAATGAAATTCGCCAATGAAAACAGTATGCATTTTGGAGGGCATAGAACCGAATACGAACCCACAATACAACTTGTTCTTCCAATATACATTGGATGTGCGACATGCATTAGCACGCTTACATGTTGTATGGGACCGGCTTTTTGGTAAAAAGCTTTAAAACGAGCTGGGTTTAAGATCCACTAGTCTGAGGTGACCTGGCATTTAGGTAGCTATCCAAGCCATCATTGTTTTAGAGCATAGCTTTGTTTTTACGCTGTTTTTATATATGCCTCGCCATCATGCAGTTGCAATGGTATATCAAGGTCAAAGGGAGCGTTCCAAATTTACATGGGATTTTGAGCTGAGATGGCCACTTTCAAGACCATTAAGGGCAGTTCACAGCACTATCCTGTTTAAGACCTAAACCCTTTATTTCTGGGCTGGACGCCACGAATTTGTGCAGACCATTCCAGGGCCACCAAGCCATGCACGACACTATAAAAATATTGTGTGAATACTGCCAGCTCACCGGTCATGTTTTACTCAAGGTAGAACAATCTGACCGTCGTGTTATTTGTGTCTGGCGTACGTCAGCACATCCTTAGGCATCAGCGAACTTTTGGCGAACAACCGATGCAATTATTTCGGTGCAAGTCCCGGCAACGAGTCACCGCTTGTGTGACATAATACCGAAATTCGGGCATTGGTGCAACTTATGGCGGAAATAAGGCTTGGAATAGAATAAGTTCACAAAAGCATCACAACCAACTACGCGAATGCATGCAAAAATAAGAAAGCAGCAACACACGTACAAGACCACGAGGAAGGGCCAAGACATGCGCAGATAATGATATTTGGTTTATGCAAGAGCCCATCGATTGACACGCCATCTCTCGACGAGACGAATTACTACAAAAGAGCCAGCCGGTCTGCTACGGCGGCAATTTGGCACGAGCCGTAACTTGGCCAGAGCGCCTGGTGTCCAGCATCGTGACCTGAGCGCCTGGCGTGCGGCATTGTGACCCGAGCGCCTGGCGTGCGGCATCGTGACCCGAGCGCCTGGCGTGCGGCATCGTGACCCGAGCGCCTGGCGTGCGGCATCGTGACCCGAGCGCCTGGCGTGCGGCATCGTGACCCGAGCGCCTGGCGTGCGGCATCGTGACCCAAGCGCCTGGCGTGCGGCATCGTGACCCGAGCGTCTGGCGTGCGGCATCGTGACCCGAGCGCCTGGCGTCCAGCATCGTGACCCGAGCGCCTGGCGTGAGGCATGCGGCCAGCGGAGGTGATGCATCCCTCCCGTACAGTGGCCATCGGCTCAGGTCAGGGAGGCTCACCTGGATGTCGTGTTGCCCTGTCTGTAGTGTCCCGTATACAGGGCCATGGCCAGCAGGTGGCCGACGTCAAAGCAGCGGATCGTGGGCACAGATGCAGCCCGAGCCCGGACTGTTTCCACATCCGAGCCGCCGTCAACACCCTGTCGGTGGGACCGACGCTAACGTGCCTCGGCCTCCGATGACAGGCTCGCGAAGAAGATGACACCAGGATGAAATCGTGAAATGCGAGCACCCTTAAATGGATAGTTGTGTTTGTATCTGCCATATTAAGCTAGCAGACATATTTTTACAGAGTGGCAAAAGAGCACAATGGCACCACGATGAGATCCGAAATATGCTTCAAGGAGGCCACTGTGATTTCGAAGGGCGCTTCACAAGAATAAAAAACATATATCTTGATTAGAATATTCAAAAGGGTTTTCAAACCTCCGAACCTGCGATGTAATGAAAACACCTTGTCGTCTACACTTTGGCCGGGCCGCCAATGTAGGTGTGTCAATGTGCGATTAAAGTCTTACGGGTAAATTTTATTGGGAATCTATTCCCCTTGACGTGCACAAGTTACCACTGAGAAGTCGATCCAGAAGACGAGCTCTTCTGCGACATGCCTGTGCAGCCGCCAAACCGGTTGGCAGCCTGGTGCAGAGCTGGCGAAGCGGGGCAGCACCTGCGGAGGCAGGACGTTCCTCTGTCCAGACTACCTCGCGCGGCCGGCGCGGCGTGGTGCGCGGCGTGCGGCACGTGACGTTAGTCCGTGCGGCACGTGACGTTTATCCGTGCGGCACGATGACGTAGTTAGACCATCGGTGCGCACGCACACATCACGTGACCAGAGCGGTGTTGCGTAACGTGTGCTTTACGATGAAAAGGTCATCCCAATCCATATGCACTAGGGTGTCCTGGAATACCACTTTGATGGAAAAGGCTGGCTGCTCAGAGCTAGTCTGGTTCTCCGACTCAAGGCGGTTCAGTGGTGACAATTTTGGCAAAGTTCACACGTGTCCAGGGGGTGCACAGAGGTCAAAGTTTTGTTCTTGCGAACCATTTTGCTGTCCCACACTCTTTCCAATCGCATTCGCCTTTAGCCAATCGGGACACCAGCCACATGCTACGGTCGAAAATATGAAATCGGTATGGTAAAAGAACACTGAGGGCTTTAATTAAAGCGCCCGAGTCAATATACATTTTGAATGCTTACGTTCATTTTAAAGCGCCCTGCTGCTGACACAGAGCGAAATTAACTGAAACTACCGAATTGTAAGCCCTTTCCCCAGCCCATATAGACGTGCGCATTTTGACAAAAAGGACACTACTGAACTCATATTAAATCAAAGAAGCGAACTAGCACTGAGCAACTTTTCAAAATGGTGTTTTCTGGGGCACCATAATATGAACACCAAACGACCAGAGCTCTGTGATAAAAGGTACCTTTAGTTGGTAAGGATAGGCTATCCCAATTCATGTCACATTGCACGACCAGAGCGGTATAATGCATGAGGAGTGGGATAACTCGCATAGAGCCTGCCTGGAATCCACCGGCGATATGCCAACGGCCCCCACGTCACAACACTGTGACATCCCGACGGCCAACCGAAGCCAGGTCACTCTGGCAGCGCTAGCGGAGCGTACTGCCGGCTGTTAACACGCGCCCGGATGGCAAATTGAATACCGTTCACTCGGGAGGGGACCAATTGGAACAGCTGAGATATAAGAAATAAGAAAGCTTTAAACACCAAATTCATAGGATGAGTTGGGCTGTACGTTAGGTCCATTGTGTCAAAATCTGAGGCCCCCTGGTTGTAGCCTTCGGGTCAAATAAGGTAAAACAAGGTCAAACTCCAGATTAGTGTTCAAAGAGCCTCAGGCCCTTTCATGCAGCCCCCGTGCACCTAGATACCTGTTCCAAGCAAGAGGTCACTGGTGCTTCTTGAAAGTCAGTGACCTTGCCTGATCTTTCGAATGTCCCGGCAACCAAAATCATACGAGCCTGCTTTGACTTTCGTTCTTGATGAAACGTTGAGGATAACACTAGGCAGTGTGCCCCGAAAAAAATATTGACTTGGGTCATTTTAGGTCAATGACCTTTTCTGACCTTTAACAACTCTATAGAAAATATATCATGCGGTTCCTCTTCTTCATAAATTTGGAATGAGCATCAAAAATGTCCCAGACAGCAAGATATAGAGTACAAAACAGGTTGGTTTTTATATTGATGTGCCCTTCATACCTGACCGTACGTCAATATAACTTGTTTTTGTACTTTGTACTTCAACTTTTTGTAAACTAGGTAACTATATCAGACATGTATGACTCCGTCTAATCCCGGTGTTATATTAGACTGAACGATTCCCTAGAAACTGAGTTCATGTCCTGACTTTAACCTGCTTAGATCAGAGACCTTACAAGTCGCATCTGAATATTTGATACCAAACGATCCACTGTTCAATTGTCTACGGCTACGGAAATTGAACGCAGCTGCGCCGCGCCGTTCGGAAATTATTCCGAAAAATCTTCGGGGTCAAACTGCCCTCCTACCCGAGCGCGTGTTACTCTCCACCATCCTGACGTACCGTGACCCGTGTGAAGTCCAGCCGCAGGCCGGGACCGTCGAAGCTCCTCTCGCGTCCGCGCAGCCGCATCAAGGCATTCTCAGCTATCCGCCTGAAAAGCCGTGTCAGTGCTGACTGTAGTATAAGGAACACGGCATGGGCAAGGAAGCGTCGACAGCTGACGATGAGCCACATAATGCTAGCGGTATTAAGGTGCTGCCCAGGAAGACAACAGCTGTCTGACCTGAGCTGATAATGCCAAGACTTTAGGAATATCAGTCAATGCTGGCCTTAGCTGAATACAGTTAAAACCGGTACCATTACAGGGAGTGCTCCACATTTGTACGGTGTTTTGAACCAACAGAGAAACCTTGTAGATCATTCGGTGCAGTTCACTGCGCTGCCCTTCTTAAGACCTAAGTCCTTCTTGTTTTTGAGCCACACGCCCGCGAAGATGTGCAGACTATTTCGCGCAGACCATTCAAGGCCACCCAGGTATCCTGACCCCACAATGATGTCATTCAAATCATGCCATTCCATTAACCATTCGACGATAAAGGCCAACAAAAATTCAGTTACCGAGTCGTTTATATATGGCGTTCGTGAGCACAATTTCCAAATATAACGGCCGTCAATTGGCTTTTTATCAATGTTGTGCAAGGCACGATGACGTAATCAGGCAATGACGTATTGGGGAGCATACTTACTAACAGAGATATTGTGTTGTCTAAGGCAGTTTTTCACCTACAAGTACACCAATATATAATAATAGTTAGAAGTGAGCTTTCTTCGTCATATCTAATGCTTACTTTAATATCTTCAACTGTGGAACACTTCCCTGAATTACTGAATGGTGCTCCAAACCTTGCACTAGCCCAACTAGCGCCACGCATCCAGGCTCGTGCCAGCACGTAACCCCATTGTTCACTTTATGTTTGCACGCCCGATGGCTCGTACAAACCCGGCACTACTGCATGCGGCACCCACGCGTACAGGACCAGTCGGCCTGCTTTCCTGCTGCCACCAAAGTGGCGGAACACCAGACCCACACTGACAGACCATCCACACTGGCAGACCAGCCAAGACCTCAGACCCACCTGAGGAACGGTAGCGGAAACTGATCCTGGACACTGGCGGTGAACGCCGCCGACATGGCAATCGCCTGCGACCTTACAGGTGAGTTGACGTCGGACGTGTCGAACTTGCGCGCGAAAAACTTGAAGGGCACAGCCCAAGCCCTGATCGACTTCAGGTCTTCCTCGGTGAAGTCGCCAGGGCCCTGGATGTGCCAGAACCAGCGTGACCGAGAAGAACAACCCTAATTCGTGCCCTACCTACATAAAAGAGCCTTACCATGCGTGTCCACGTGGGAGAACAGTTTTATTCATCGGTTTAGGTGCAAAACAATGTTAACTGTTAGCATCAACTTAGATCACTGATCAAAAGGAACAAACTACTCCTGCCCGTTGTTAACATAGCAAATTAACTGCTACCAACACGGCCGCCAGTGAGCCCAGTAAGCCTCGTGTTTTCAGACTTTCCAAAACGAGCATGTCTCTGGGGGGAATAGGGCACTATTCTTCGCACTACGATACTACAGTACTTCTCACCAGCGAAACGAATTCTCTTTACGCATGCGGCCCAAGCTGAAATCAAGCCCAATTGGCAACTGAGGATAGCCCACGACCCAAGCAAAGCAAAAAGGCGCATTTTCAACATCCATCCAGACAAGCAACCTTGGTACCGTACCTGCAAATCCCCAAGAACATCAAACACTAGCATTCCAAGCTCCCTTTCGGTCTTTCAAAAGGCCAGTGCACATAGCTGTACATCCGATCAGTGGTGAGCGGTCCCCGGGCTGGTTGTCCCGGTGGACCCGGCGTGTCACAGCGTGTCATCTTAAGGTGGGGATTCGTTGTCACCGCACTCGAACTTAAGGTGGGAATTTGGTCTCGCCGTGTCCGGACTTAAGTTTCGGGCGTGGTGTCACTGCGCCATGCGTGGTAGCGCGGCCTGCGAAGTCCCAAAGAGAACAACGCCAAATGATCGGTGCAGTAGCCAGGGGTTGAACATCATAGCAGTGAGCTGTATTTGTTCTGTGAAAACGCAAGACAAAATGCAAATTAATAAAAACACGCCGTTCTGTATCATTGCTTTATGCGGTTCCATTTCGTCCATTCTTTTCATGAGGGCTTTGCTGTTCCACTCCTCCCAGATTTCAAGCAAATTTTTTGTCGAATGCTTTGTACGAATGTTTTTGGTTTCATAGCACTTGTCATCAGAGCTTGTTGCGCATGTCCTGAACTCGACACTCAAAATACGCAATTATACATACTTGATTGCATTGATGTATGGAAAAAGTGGTGAAACACACAAGCTCATAAACCGTATTGATACACAGTGCAATGTAAAATGGTGCGTGTGTGTGTGTGTGTGTGTGTGTGTGTGTGTGTGTGTGTGTGTGTGTGTGTGTGTGTGTGTGTGTGGTGTGGTGTGCGTGTGCGTCTGCGTGTGCGCGTGTGCGTGTGCGTGTGTGTGTGTGTGTGTGCGTGTGCGTGTGCGTGTGCGTGTGCGTGCGTGTGTGTGTGTGTGTGTGTGTGTGTGTGTGTGTGTGTGTGTGTGTGTGTGTGTGTGTGTGTGTGTGTGTGTGTGTGCGTGTGTGTGTTGTTGTTACTGTTTGTACTTCTGGCTACAGACCACAGGGCACTTGGCAATGACGTAGTCCTTGCACGCTCATGGCGGAGGTCACAAACCCTGGACTGGCGAAGCAGCGGGAGGGACAGATTCATCACCCAGAAATCGATACAATACCATGCGGATAAGAAGCCAATCAAACAATACCAGGACTATGCTGATGAGAGAGAAGTCCCCAGATGAGCAACCTAAGAATCCGTCACCAATCAGGCGTAAGTGGGTATTGCCGCGATAAATCCACCCGCAAGCTGCCTGTGGTCATGGAAAGCACCCCAAACACTGCGTGCAGTCCGCGAGCAGCACGGCAAACGGCGTGCTTTTGATCACAATATGTCCCGTTGACAGAGCCGCTTATGTAACTCCTGCCTCTTGCATCATTCCAAAACAAAATGAACAGCCGAGACATGGGTTGTCTGAGAAGACTGCCGTCACTTCTGCATTCTGTACCAGGTTCATATTTGTTCTAGGTCAGTCATCCAAACTTGCAAAAAGTACCTACAAAATAGGCCAATGCTAATGACGCATACACACACTCCCTGCCAGACATAAACAAAATGAACTGAAATCCCCTAGGCATAATCAAAACTGATCCGACCCCAATCACTTCGTGTGCCCAGCTGAACACTACCCTGCCACAAAAGTCCGCGTCGTCCTGGTGCCTACACAGGCCATCCAGGTTGTCCTTCTCGAATCCCTTCATGTGGTGTAGGTTGGTGTTCACCATGGCTTCCCTGCAGTGATGCACAGATGCAGATGCAGGTAGTATGTGTTACATGTCGGTATTCAGCAAGGTTTCCTCGCTGCCAGGCCCTCAGTCAGGATTTTTGCGAGCGGTTTGGAAGGAGTGGAATTCGAATGCGAGGCTGTCTTGACACACACTTCAAGGAACGACATGGGTTTTTGAGGCTGTCTTGACACACACTTGAAGTGACTACATGGTTTTTTTTAGAGACGTCGCTCAAAAGTCACGGATTTCGTTAACCGGAGGGGTGTCATGGACGCGCTTGGCAGCAATTATTATCCATCAAAATGCGGTGACAGTTTGTAAAAACATGGCGTTTTCATGTTAAAACGTGGTGAATTCGCGATTAGCATATCCTTTTCCTTTGTTGGAAGAAAGCTTACTGAAACAATGGAGACTGTACATAAGTAATTTTTAGTGCAATGCAGGTAAGGGAATTTGCATTTAGTAACTATAAGGAACAGGGACACTTCCACAGAATGCGTAACTACGTGTGCGGACGGCAGGCTGCATGGAACGATTTAGCATTCGGCACAGTTATTGGAGAAACATCGCAAAATTGTGCATTTGGAGACAAATAGGAGAAATGGCTGCTTGTGACATGACGCGCATTTACTTTAGCTGTTAGATGCTAGAGGGAAGTCTCTGTTTGACGCGCAGCGCAAGAATTTTTAGAAGCGATATATACGCGGTTCTTAATGTGATTTTCATTTCCGGTCGAATTCACTGCCTTTTTGAATCAAACGAGCCTGAGAACATTTCGCCTTTGTTACAAATGTCCAGTTAATCCCGATTCACGTCAGGCAAGCAACACTTCTTAAATATAATCTGAAGCAATCCATCATGTTAAGCCAAATCATGGCCCATGAAATATAACATGGCACATGACAGCTCAGCATAACATACATGAAATATACTTGTGAAGAATGTATTACTGGGTTGGCTTTCTTAGGAAAGCTTCAGTCTGGTTCAGCTCATTTTGGCCGATCAATTTCCTAACGTCCTCTATTTCGCACACGAGTTGTACAATTTCGCGATCCAGTTCAGTTCGAGAAATCGACTACTCGATAATGGAGGCTCTTGATTATATAAGTTGTTCGTTCTTCAGCGTATACACAATACCGAAGCGACAACAATTAAACACATCCGGCGATAATCAACTTGAGGATTGCTCGTTAAACTTGCTCCATCGTGAAATCAGTGATGTGCCTCAGGTCAGATGAAAGTCATCTCTCCAGAGAGCAATGACCCAGTACTGGGCGGTGGCCTTGTACTGAGCGGTAGCTCGGTACTTAGCGATGGCCCGGTACTGAGCGGTGGCTAAGTACCAAGTGGTGGTCCGGTACTGAGCGGTGGTCCGGTACTGAGCGGTGGTCCGGTACTGAGCGGTGGTCCGGTACTGAACGGTGGTCCGGTACTGAGCGGTGGCCCGGTACGCAGCGCACCGGTCCCATCGATAGCGGTCATACCATTTGCGAAACATAGAGCCGTTTTCATACGAAACATACGAAGCATAAGCCGTGTCCAGCCTTACCTGTACGGTGATGCGTATAGCAGAGTGGAGAAGAAGAACTCGTCAGGAATGGCGTGGTGCCTGAACCGGAACAGCCGCCGCGCTATGGCCGGATGCTGCTGCAGGTTCGTGGCGAACTCAGCCATATCTCGCGACAGCACGAACCACTGAGAACTGCCGCGCAAACAGGCCAGAGCTCAAAATACCGTAGCGACACCTTGCAGTGAATTGCAGGTACTTGCCAACATAAACGACCCAAGGCATTTAACCACGGGTGTCGCTTTCTAAAATCGGTTGACGGGAGTGGTGAGCCGGCAAAAGTTGACCCAAAAACGTGATTCCTCCCCGAATGTCGGTCACTTAAACTTGCACTCAATGTTAAAACAAGAAACGTTTAAAAAAGTTCGTCGATTCAAAAATGAGGCGCATTACCGTGGACTGTGGACCGGGCAACCACCTACCTGCGGTAAATTCAGCTGATCGCATCCTGGCTCGTCCACAGACCATCGGCCCACCATTTGTCGTCGCAATTTGGTTGGGTTGGTAAATTTGACTTAGCGCTAATGACTGCCGCTGGGGCTGATTATGTTTCCCACTCAGTTGGTAGTCGAATACCACGCCCAGTCACAGTCACAGACTGGAAGACCAGTCACACAACTTGTGCGGCAAATACACTTGCCACTGATCAGGGAAGCCATACTGAGCCACCCTGTACTTTAAAAACCTACCACATATAGCAATATATTGTACTTCATCCCAATCCTGGTCTTATCGTGTGCCACACTTGTCAAACGCTTGCAGAGTAGGCTTCCCATATGAAGGGGCTGGCATTATAAAAATCTTAAGCCGCTACGGGATACTCGTTGATACGGAATCGACATGATACAAATAATGATGTGCCCAGGTACTTAGTGTATTCGTAGGTAATGAGCATTTCTTGCATTTTCTGTGGTCCAGTATTCTCTTTTTACCCATATGTACCGAGGAGAACCAGAGGGGTATTGGAGTGGGAGGGCCAAGTCACCGTTGGAGGGGCTCACACTCCCCCCCCCCCCCTAACGGTATATAAAACGATACCCGTACAATTAACAAAATGAGTACCCTGAAACACGTGGGTCCTCGCAGCATATGTCTTGAATACGGCAACAAGATGCGAGCAAATAACACAGGGAGTAAAGAGGTTTCGTGATTTAAGACGGGCTGCCAAAATAACGTCACCTATACCCTAGTACCGTTCTCCATCACTTGCCTGCCCTTGAGACGGACCGCTGGATCGAGAGCGTGTGTCGCGCTCAGCGTGTAGACATGGTTGTCGCACATCGCCCTGCAGGCATACGTATGACTAGGGCTTAGAAACAAAGCCCGCCCGGCCCTCCATGGACATCCGTCGCTCAACCGGTCCATGTACACTGCATGGCGAATATCAATTCATATTGCTGCGGCTTTTATAGAGAAATATTATGGATTATACTAGGAGTGCACCGAAGGCGGCGGCTCAGGAGAGGCGACAAGATAAAACTGGAAATTGGCACACGTGGAACAAAACACAAGGTGGCCATAGAACATTTAATTTAGTAGGCGAACATTGATCGAAACTCGTTGAAAGTGGTCTATGTGGGGACAAGTTTAAATAACGGCTAGATGACTGAAGACGTCGATATTTACTGCACGTGGCTGGGTCGCCCCGGCTTCTCCTTCCAGCCATCGAAGGTGGACAGCATAGAAGTACCCCTGTGGGCGGCCAGCGCTGCCGCCAGCTCGTCCACACTCCTGATGGCGAGGTCCGAGCCGCTCAGCACCACCGCATGGTCCCAGACCCCCAGACGCAGCAGCTCCTCCAGCGCCTGCGGTGTCAGGGACACCACTCAACACCGCCATGCGGTGTCAGGCTCCGGCAGCTCTTTCGGAGTCTCCCAGCAGCACAGGTCGCAAAGGTGGGCATCAGCCTATATGAGGAGTGCAGAGCCCGAAATGTGTGCAAGTAGCACGCCGATGATAAACTACCCGGCGGTAAGAGTGAGTCGTTGGGCAGGCACATCTAGGCCCGTCTGAGGCATCCCTACGACGAGCCGGCGTCACCATCTGAGGCACCCCAGCGACGAGCCGGCGTCTCCGTCTGACGCACCCCAGCGACGAGCCGGCGTCTCCGTCTGAGGCAACCCAGCGACGAGCTGGCGTCTCCGTCTGAGGCACCCCAGCGACGAGCCGGCGTCTCCGTCTGAGGTACCCCAGCGACGAGCCGGCATCACCGTCTGAGGCACCCCAGCGACGAGCCGGCATCACCGTCTGAGGCACCCCAGCGACGGGCCGGCATCACCGTCTGAGGCACCCCAGCGACGAGCCGGCATCACCGTCTGAGGCACCCCAGCGACGAGCCGGCATCACCGTCTGAGGCACCCCAGCGACGGGCCGGCATCACCGTCTGAGGCACCCCAGCGACGAGCCGGCATCACCGTCTGAGGCACCCCAGCAACGACCCAGCATCACCGTCTGAGGCACCCCAGCAACGACCCAGCATCACCGTCTGAGGCACCCCAGCGACGAGCCGGCGTCTCCGTCTGAGGCACTCCAGCGACGGGCCGGCATCACCGTCTGAGGTACCCCAGCAACGAGCTGGCGTCTCCGCTTAAGGCACCCCTGCGACGAGCCGGCATTACCGCCTGAGGCACTCCTGCGACAAGCCGGTGTCACCGCTGATCGGACCAGCACCCGGTCGGCGCGCGCCCACAGGCGGCGTGTTCACCTCCAGCTCGGCGCGCACGATGTTGTAGGACGCCCAAGAGGTGGCGAACGAGCGCTCGCCGGGCAGCACGCGGACGTTGGGGAGTCGGCGTAGAGTTGACGTCAGCAGGCGACGCACCTCCTCGGCACGAGCGTCCGCGTGCACCACGTAATAGTGTTGTGGCCTGTAGATCTGCTCCAGTAGCTGCAGCTGTTGGACACAGGTCGCCTGTTCACCGATCATCACCGAAAGGACCCGCACAGCTGTGCACCACTCACTCACATTCAAGCAGGGTAGATCGCTTTCGGCTCCTGCTCTCGGTTCACAATCGACGGTCGATAAAATGTGTCCGCCCTGCTAGGCCCGGTCAGGCTGAGGTCACCACGCGCAGCCACAGGATACAGTGGCCGCAGCCCACGGCCCGCCGCTCGGCCGGGCGCGCTGCCGCCAGACATGACGTCACAGAGGGCAGGGACCACCTGTCCTGACCATAGCCTGACCTATGCTCAAATTGTTCGTCCCACAATCCCCCCCAGGCAATCATTTCAATCGGTTGTACTGAAACGCGCAAGTGTTCCAAGCATGTCGCCAAATGTTGCTAATGGCGCTAATCATAAGATAGACATGTGCAATTCCAAAGACAGAAAAGTTCCCTCGCGTTCCAGTGCCTCTCATTTCTCGTAAGGTAGATATGGAACCCTAGATTTTAATGCAGCATGAAGTTGTGCGGAACACTCCTGATCGATGAGCGCGCCCTTGGGAGCAGACCGGTCAGGGGGGTGGATTGCTTGATGCACGGCCGACGACGTGGACGTGACTACTGACCGCAATCAGAGTGAGCCGAAGAGGTTTCGGTGCGGTCGGTTCTGTTCACATATCAGGCGAGTGGGTTCACATGTCAGGCAATCTATCGCCAATTGCCCCTTATTGGGGTAGATGCACAAAATAAGACCACGGCATCGGTTCCGGTATCTTATGCTTTGTTTCTAAAAGCTTATGTAGAAGACAAATTATTGGACACATATCCGGGATCAGCACCCGCGTTGAGTCGTGGATGTCGCGTGAGCTCACCATTCGACTGTGAATCTCCGGGTCAACAGAAGAATTTTACGATGACAGCTTAACGTGCCGCATCTCTTGCACCGCCCTTCTACCTGGAGGGTAGGACCGGTGGTATTACGTGACCTTTACCGTATGCGCTGTTACCAGCTGGCTTTCATGCCAGCCAAAACCAAATAAGGAGGGCATAAATAAACTCGAAGCCTCCCCACCACCAGTACGTCAATTGGATTGCAGACATTCTAGCTTGCTAAGCTATTGGGACGAATTACAAAAGGGGAGGGGGACAAATATATTAGTCCATTGGGGGGTGAGGGCAAGATTGGTGAAACAACATTGGTACCGCCAAAATAAAAAGCAAGATATTAACAATGAAGAAACAAATTAACTTAATGCGGTCATATTGTCCATTCAGATGATTAAATCGTGTCTGGCTTTCATGCGTAATAGAGGAAGGATGATTGGACCATGACATTGATATATTTGAGTGCATTGTGTAAAAAAACTCGATTAGCATAGAAATCCTGCACTGGTACAGCTAGTCATGCATTTTAGTTAGCTGGAGCTAAGTATTCAGATGTCTCTAACGTACTAAACTCCTGAGTGCGTGATGTTTGATATGCGCTAATTTAAGTCACATGGTTCTGTCCTAGGTGTCTCTTCTCGGCAAACTCGGTTCCGTATATTTCAAAACATCAGTGCGGTGGTCTAAAAGTCTTTCCTTAATGGATGTCAGACATAATTATGCAGCAGATTTCTTAGTGCTGACATGATAGTTGGACTGGTGTAGGCCTCGCTGGCTGGCTGTCTTTCTCGTGAGTCAGAGAAAGATAAATATTGTCAGTCAAAAGCTTTTATTTTTAGTAACTTACACTCACCAACACTGACACCTTACCACAATGTCCACGTGCACAACCAACAGCAGCCCTGCATCTTCGATTCCAGTGGGTGTATGAGCCTACATGGTCACCAACGCTGGGCCTTATATACTACGTACATCGGAGATGACATGGTCACAGGTTCCGTAAATGATGTGATAGTTAACCAATGAAAAGCGAGTACGACTTCGTGCGATGGTCGACTAAGCCAATCACACAGTAAGGCACTACCTTGCGATCTCGGAATTGTCTGATGCAACTGGCAGGCGGTGAGGCGCTGAGGACGCCTTTTTCTAAAAAAAAAGGTATCAAATCGCATTACGGAAGGCAGGCATAGTTCAAGTTTCGACGCAACAAATGGATTGTGGTGAGTGATTAAACCTGGGTTTGAACGGAGGCGAATTTAGTAACGGCGCATCTCCCACCCGGCCCCACGGCTGATGCAGTTGCCCGCCACCCGACCGATGTTGAGCCACTCGGCCGGCAGATTTGTTCGTTTTTGTTATGGGGATTTTGCTGAATTTCAGCCAAATGGCAATGTATGAACACCATTCACTTGACTGACCTGGTATGTGAACAGAACTGATCGCACAGCAACCTTCTTCTTTCACTCCGGTTCTGGTCAAGCTTCACTACCACACCTTGGCAAGAATGGGCCGGCAATCAATCACTGCACCCCTCTGACCCGTCTGCTGCTGAGTGCGTGCGCTTGGATGAGGACTGCTTCACACAGCAGCTTTCTGCTGCGTTACGGCCTAAGGTTGCAGAAGTGACCTCAGGGAAATATGGCGCACTAGAGCCGAGGGTCTCTGTTCTTGTAATTGCACAGCGGCTCTAGTGCTGTTAAGTGTAACGCTAACCATGACATAGACATATCTTAATGTGATGGCACCTTTGCTACAACGGCTCTTGGTGCTAATCGTGAAGGTGTGGAAGGCCCGGGTGACACGATTTGTCTGAATTTTGTTCTAAGGCAGTTTATCTCTACATCTTGCCCGTAATAACGTTAAGCTGAAAGAAAGTAACACCAAAATGCATAAGCTACATGGAAAAGGCAGACAACGTTGTCCGTCAGTGAAACATTTACGCGGCTGTGGCTACATAGGTTCCAAAGCGTGTACACCGCGCAGTGCGAGAGCTGTGGTATCGTGAGGCTCTCAAGTGCGACTCGTGTGTGTATTGTGTAACATGACAGGCGCTCCCGTACGACATTTGAGGATCACACTCACGCTGTGCGCTAGCTTCCATATGACACGACATGCACGCCTGTATCGCCAGAATAAAGATATGGCTTTGATTTTCCCATCATTGAGACAATAACCAAAGTGCGAGGAACACTTCGAAGGGAACTGGAAGCAATGCTGCTCAAAACGTGGGATGAGACACGATGGCGAGGCAAATCTAATAAAAGCATTCCAAGAATATACTTACCGTCGAGCTGACGTCTTTGTGCACAAGCAATAGGAAGCCGATCCTGACGGGAATCAAGTCACGCTCTGGTGCGCTGAGAACTGGCGAGAAATGAAAGAGAAAGATGTTACGAAGAATTGTCAATAATTTGCAATGTCCTTATTTCAGTACGAGAGGAGGCGGAAACAAATGCAATTAAAAGCACGTCAAACAGTGTGAACCCTTACTATAATATGATCATCCGTGTATTTAACAGGTATGCACTAGAATCCGAAAGAAGGGATTTCCAATGGAAATTTCAGACCTGGGTCCCTAGGACTTAAATCCCATTTTTTGCGATTTTGGATTTGGTTTCAATACTTCTCGAAGGATATTCCTGATCGTATACATTTAAAAACAGTGTTAACGGATCCTGTGGGATCCTGAATTTTGTTTTAATTTGTGTGGAAAGATCTTTTAAGATATTGGTATTTTAATGAATTGTTAACATTATCATATAAATCCAGTACAATTTAAATGTTGAGCAATCTGCTGAAACATGTGATCTGTTTTTAATTCAGTCAAGGGATCTCACGAAATCTGATATTTTTTTGTGGGATCCAGGCACATGTATGAACTGTTCAACCTTCACACTGAGGGGAGAGACAGGTATTGGCTCAAATGGCCATTTCGGAAGCAGGCAAAAACGGCTTCAACTTCAACTGGCAACGGCAAACCAGCAATTTTCGGTATCATCTTTCATAACAATATCGCTCATGACTTGATTTATGTCTAAGCTATGCATCAGCTGGAGTTTTCCGCGAAATCACTATGAAACACCATTTCCCAACCGCCTAACGTCCCCTACAGCCGCACAAACAATACCCGAACGGCACCAGGACTCAATAGTGCCTCCTCTACATGCCGGTTCAGTGACCTCAGGCAATCGCATGGGCTCTGCATTGTTGCTCAGCATGTATCCGCCAGTGCTGACCCATCCTCTGAGACGGATCTCAGCGTCCCCGTCATCATCGTTATCGTTCTGTCGGCGTGCGATTCCATGATCGCGCAAACCTATCGCACGGGCCCGGGTGGCCGGTTGAACACCCTTGCTCAGGTGTGGGGCTGGATCCATAAAACTAAGGTAGCTAAAGACATCAAATTCACAGACTGGGTTAGTCTGTATGTGAACCCAATTGTGGTCATGTTTTAATGTTCTTTGGTCATAGCCTTTGAGTGATACAAGGTCAATGAGGTTTAACTTCAGGTTGGTGGCAAAAGTACCCCAGATCTCCTTATACAACAGCCTTGAGCCTAGTCACCTGTTCTAAGCAGAAGGTCGCTGGTGTTCATTTTAGGTGAGTGACTTAGGTTTATCTTTATAATGTTATAGTAACCAAAACCTGTCAAGATTGCTCTAATTTTGCATTTGAATAAATGTCAAGAATTACGCTGTGTGGCATGTTTCTTGAAGGGAATGTTTCACAATTGAAAATATTAAAGCCAGCATTAGATAACGTGAAACAAACTCATTTTTAACTATTGGCAAGCTTTTTAAGTCGGAAATACAGCTCTAGACAGCACAGTTCTCCCTTCAGGAAAGATGCTCCTGAATGCGTCATGGTTTGATCACGTAATAGTACCTTGCACAACATTGATCGAGAATCGATTAACGGCCGTTATATCTGGAAATCACGCTTACAAACGCCAGATATGAGTGCTTTGATACTCGTATTTTTCCTGGGTCTAATCGTCGCTTAAGTTGTGGAATGGCAGGATTTGAATGACGTTATTGTGACGTCATGAATGCCAAGGTGACTTTCAAGTGCTCTTCCCGATATACCTTTTCCCATTTTCATGGGCGTGTAGCTTAGAAACCAGAGGGGCTTAGATCTTAAGAAGAGCAAGATTGTGAACTACACCGAAAGGTCTTTTAGATGGCTATTTCAGTTTAAAAAACACAAGTGTAAACGCCTTCTTTTTTGCAAGATTTTTGTTGCAGTCCCTGTTATTAACAAATTTAAAGTGGGAGCACCAGAAGTTATCCCATATGGGAGACTGAACGAAAAAAGCAAGTTGTTTTGATCTAGGTTTAACCTTCATATGTGGCCGTAGGTCACTGCAGTTTATTTTATTCCTAAATTAAAGCGTTTTATTTTCTATAAAGATAACCACCTCAGAGATGTATGGCTTCGTTAACACTATATCGCAAGAGATCAAAGTATTCCGTAAAACTCGCCTTCGCTGACAGTCACGGCCTGATTTTGATCTACCATGGATCAGTGATTTTACAAGGCACATGTAAGTTGTTTATGTTGAAAGATCCTCCATTCAATTGTCTACATCTTGGCAAAGTTTGCAGCGGCTGCACCACGCCGTTCGGAAATTGTTATGTAAAACCCTTCGGCAAAGGTGAAGGATTTATCCCACCCGGAAGTGTGTTTATGGTCCTCCAAAACTCAGCCCTGAGACCTATGACATACGCAGGCGGCGGAGCGGAGCACGGAGGAAAAACCCAGATCAAGGAGTCTCCACATCTGTGCTGGACGGCCAAAATCGGACACAGAAGGCTTCTCTTTTTGTCAATTTCTTTTTTCGTGCCCTCTGCTACCCACTACTCTGGAAGACTTTAAGCAACGCATACATCTAAACCTAGTCTTTTGGATCTAATCTTCTCTATATGAAGTGTCAGCAGTAACATGGTGCGACATTTCTTGGAGAAACAGCCCAACATTCCGCAAACATCTGGCCTGCACAACTATCCATACTTTTCCCATTATATGTACCACACTGCCCGTTCCATATATCGCACGGGTATTCATGGATTCTCCCTTAATCCATAACCACCCGTTATTCATTCCAAATCAATTTCACCAACACGTCACCAACACGTTTGCTTTTTTACAGTACGTAAGCTCTAAATTAGTGAAATGTGTCAGGAAAGCATTAGCCCGTCCCGATAGCTCAGCTGGTTTCAGCGTCCGCCCTCTGATTCACACAACCGTAGCGGGCTAGGTTTGAGTCACTTAATGCACTTGCCGCTTGCCGCTGACTGGGATGTCTTGCAGCACGTGTCAGCAGTCGCGCTTAAGTTCTGGTGACGCTAGAGGGTAGGACAGACTGTGTTATAACGTTACCGCATGCCCGGATGTCCCCTATCGGCCGGTGGGATCAGCGCTCACGCGACAAGCACTGTTTAGATCGAATACTGAACCCAACACTCTATATAATCGGGGTTCACTGAATTAAACACAGCAAAATCAAGCTAAAATTAAGCTTGCATCTAAGCTTGCTGTTTGCCTTAATAAATGCAGCTACAAATAATGTGCATAGAGCTTCTACGGACGAAAAAAGAGCAAGCAGTAAGATTGCGTAGCACTGACTTGAAGCATCTTCCTAACCACGGCTGTCACTTTCGAAGATCGGTTGGGGCTCAGCCGATAAGGACCTAACATACCTTACTAACATAAGGACCTAACATACCTAACATACCTAACATACTAACCCCTACCAAAGACTGATTTTTTCTCGATTTCCGCCAATTCAATTTGCGTGCCCGAAATTACAATTTAATTGTTATTTTCAATATTTCATAGATTCAAATTGTTTTACGGGGTGGTTGAGATGAGGTTGGATTTCCGGTTGAACATCACGGTTGGAAAAGTTGTCTACCTCGTCTTCTGGGCTAGTACGCATAACAAGATGTTGGGCAGATGGTTACCGGCCGTCGTCAAGCGTCAATTGATCCTACAAATGACGGACTGATTTTTGTTTTTCAAGCATGTATGTTTCACAACCTCGAAAAGTCTCGAGGTTGGTAAAATGGATGACAGGGCAGAGACGCACGTTTTGTGAAGAAAAGTAGCGGTTGCAGTGAAAACTTCATCGTGACGAAACCGAAAACAGCAGTTCAAAATCGCATAACGTCGAAGCAAACACGAGTGGTAGCAGGAGGGTGGGGGGGGGGGGGGCTGTTTTTAAGCTAGATTCATAATCCAAGCATTGGTTGAAGCCAAAATCGAAACCAGCTGCTAAAAATGCCATGAGGACAAAGCCAGTAGTGGAAATGTCACAAGTCGAACCCGAAGCTTCTGAAGAACACTACGTCTAGACGAAGCCGAAGCTGAAGCGGTCTTCTTCCCAATGATTGCCCTAACCAGATAGCCGAGCAAGTCCTGACATTTGACACGGCATGTGAGTGTCCATCATAATGGAATGAGGGTCCATAGGACCGAGTATTCGATCGCTGCTGCTTTAGATCAAACCACTTTATCATCGCCTGGCTGTCGGGAAAATTTAAAAACACCTCAGGGTGGAAAGGAGGCCTCTGTCAACAAGAAACAAAGCTGAGGTAATCCTTCGAAACTCCACTGCGGCAAATGATACGGAGTTTGAGATATGAAAAAGCTTGGCACATTGTACAATCGTAACGTTACGATTACCGCAGATCTCAACTCAAGAAAGTGCCGTCGTGAAGGCGTTATATGTGAATGAAAAATCCAATCGCCGTGAAAGCGTGATACTTGAAGTGCAGGGACTCTACAAAACAAGGATAGCCGCCCCAGATCCCAGGGGATGCGCGGACATCCGGTGCACCTGCCTGGCTACGGGTCTGTGGGGGTTCTACAAAACAAGGATGGGGGGGCCGCCCCAGATCCCAGGGGGTGCGCGGGCACCCAGTGCACCTGCCTGGCTACGGGTCTGTGCTTCATGTAGCAACAGTTGCGGATCAGGATACCTCGTTTTGGAAAAACGAGGCCCTTTGAGACCACTTTGAGAATTGAAATGGTCTTGTCCTGATCAGCATCTGGGGACCTTCTGACGAACAGCCAGATGCGCCAGAACGTCATTTCTGCCACAGGAAGCCCTGTTTTCGGATAGGGAGGCTCTCTGATGGATAAAAAAAATTTGACTGCGTTAATCGAAGGGCCCGATTCTAAGTTTTAATGATTGACATTTCTTAGCATAGAAATTGTTACGTGCAACAATGTGATACAGGGGCAGATGACCTCCGTGCCCCCTCTCCCCATCCCCTTGAATCTAAAACTGTCTAGGAGACCCCTATGAGTAGACCCCGTGTTGTCCAGGCGACTTCCTGGAAAATCTTGCCCCCTTGCTCAGAATCCATGGCGCCGCTGTTGGTAGCAGAACACCGCAACACTTGCTGAGGGGCCGACTGGGAGCTTACAGAACAATGCCGACTTACGTTGCGGTCTGGAAAAGGAGACGCGACTCTACCGCTTTGTAACAGGATCAAGGAACGCTGGCCATCCGGCCGGTCCGCAGGGGGCGACACGGGGGGTGGGGCACAGACCGAGTCAAGGACGGATGGCCGGCCAAACGTTGCTGGGCGGGATATGCACAGAGAGCAGCCCAATTTGCAGACCGTGGGAAGTAGGGGCTGAAGTGTTCAACTGCGCTTGCTGTCACACCTAGCGGTGGGATGCTTGTGTTGTAAGTGTGAAGCATCGTGGTGGCGTTGTGTATGTTAGTCTGAAGTCCAAAATGCGTGAGGTGGCAGTCGGGTTCCCGCGCGCGAGCCCAGACCAATCCGCTTCTCGGCCGGCACATGTATGCAGGTGTTTGCTCACGGTGCCGCATGTCCGGTCACGTATGACTGATTCAGAGACGCAACTTTTTAAGTAGCTCACCGGGTACATCTAGCCCGGCAAGAACCGCGCGCCCTTCACCGGACTGTGCGCTAGACTTGGCGAGCATTTGCTGGTTAAAAAATTATAAAAAGAAAAACGATCAACGGTGACTGCTAGCACTTAAGTTTTAAAACCTGCCGCTCCTTTAAACTCCCTCCCTCTCTTCCAACTACTCTTAAAGGAAGTCTTCCTCAGTCGTGGGGTTTTCAGCTGAAACCGCCATTTTGAAGATCATTCGGTGCAGTTTACAGTCCTGTCCTTCTTAAGGCCTAACACCCTCTGGTGTCTTAGCTACACCCCCGTAAAGATGCACAGTCTTTTTCGTGCACACTATTTGATGTCCGTTTAGGCATGCATCACGCTATAACGACGCCATTCAAATCCTGCCACCCCACAGGCCAGGCGGCGTTTAGGACCAGGAAGAATATGATCGTTCCGCTGTTCAGATCTGGCGTCCGTGAGCATGATTTTCAAATAAAGTAGACACCAATTGGATTTCAAACAATGCTGAGCAAGCTGTGCAAGCTTCAACCACGAAACACACTTTGTGCTTTATGACATAAAAGCTGGACATGGTTTCCTCACCTGTAGTTGTTACGAAAATAGGGCCTGCAATGGTATAATTGAATAAACCGCCGTAAATATGAGTGTGGATGCACGCAAGCATCTTAAACTCGCGAATACATATGCAAAAACATCACGAAAAAGGACCAAAGCACTAGCACATCATATTTAACTGAGCGAAGAGTTCCATCCCGTCCTGCCATCTCTCGACAAGTTTGAAGTACTACAAGTAAGTGAAAATTTCGGACGGCTGGTTTAGCCGTATCTCAACGTCGTGCAAACGCTCCATGACGCAAAGGGTGTCACCGACTCACCTTCCAACATCGGTAGGGATGGGGATGCGGGTGGGGTAAGGGGGGGGGGGGCTCAACCGGAAATGTTGACCCAACCAAACCCCAAAACCTGAATTCTCTCCGGTTTTGGTCACCTTGTGTCCTCAAAGTTAAAATGTGAAAACAATCTTTTTAAAAATCGTAAGTTCAAAATTGTTTTTCTGCGGAGGAATGACTTTTCTTTTCAAATTTATTTGACCTGCCATCTTGTCAAAATTATAGAATGGGTTGCAGTTCACAGAAAGAGATCTAAGAAAATATTAGAAAGGGACCACTGATGACCTCCGTTGTTGTTAATCGTGTTGTATAATCACCACTGCCGTGATTATGCAACAAATACATCTGCCACCGTTTGGAAGAGCGTGCGTTTGTTGTTATCTGAGTCACCCCGTACTTTTAAAAGCAGCTGTATATTTCAGCCAATTATTACTTATCCCAATTTCAGTCAATTATTGTATATCCCGGCGCTATCACTTAAAAAATATTGTTAAACAGTTGCAGACAGAGTTATTATATGAAGGAGTTAGCAGGAAAACATAAGGTCCCTTCAGGATGATATCTGGCCCAAAATTAGCATGATACTAAGTGTAATGCGTAAAGGTATTTACTACCTGGCATACGAACAGTTAGATAGTTGTGCTGTATTTATTCGACTCAGCATTCTTCCCTTGCTCAATATGCATTTCAGTGGCTCAGAGGAGCATTGCGGGGTGGGTCCAAGTTAGTATTGGGGGGGGGGGGGGGCGGAGGGGGGGCGCGAATCTCCCGAAAGTATATAAAGTAACGCCCCTGCATGACGCGATCAAACATAGACGTACTGAGGAGCATATTTACTAAATAGAGAAATTGTGTGGCCTTGAGCAGTCTCTTCCAATTAAAGTACACGAATGGTCACCAGTGAGCTTATTTCATCATGTCTGATCCTTGCTTCAGTATCTTCAAATGTGGAACGTTCGCTTGAAGATTCTTCGCATCACGGTTCACCGATAGGTACGTTATTCGGATCGGGTCATTTGTTTACATGTCATGGACTGCCAACGGTATACTTGCAGAATGGTCTCAAAAATATTTGAGACTGTAACTCGATGACGGTGACTCGGGGAGCTCAAAACATCAGATGTGTTATGGTTCAAATCCCCTTATGTGCCTATATTTATAAACAGATACGAGGGTTTATACGCGATATTTTCTGGTATTCAGGCATGGAGTGGCCCAGCAGTAAACTGACTCTGCGTGTAGCGTGTCAGGTTGTGACGCGGTCCCGGCATTGGCAGCGCCTCGTAGTCGAAGCCGGCCTGGCCTGGTCGGCCCGACTGAGGTGGCAGGCACATGCCGCCACCGTCGAACAGGAACGCGCAGAGCACGGTCATCAGCTGGTCGCGGCAGTGTCGGGAAGCCCTGCCGACAGCCAGGTCAGGTCGCCAGGTCATCAGCACTCAGCAGATATGTACGATTGATGTGGGTGTCTCGGTCGGGCTCCACTCGTAAGAAACGGAAACATGGCAGAGCCGCTCGTCGTGGCCTGTAAGTCGACCGTAAGTAAGGTTGGGGGGGGGGGGACAACGTCATTCTCATAACGGAAGACCGCAAGTTCCGGGACGGCATTTAATTTTGGTGAACAAGCAGCCTGAGGCGGTATGCCGTACTCTGTCGCGCGCAAGCAGCCAAACTGAGTCCTGGCTTAATGTTGCACAAGGCGCAGTGCTATCACCGTCCGGGTGTAAGCATCGATTTTTGAGCTCAAGGTTACATCACAATAAATCTTAGAAGTGACATCAAATCAGCCTGAAAACCACTACACTGGAAACCACCAATATTGACGTTAGTCAGAGATAATATGAAGGTCGCTAAAGCGCGTCCGGTTGGCCGATTGCATACCCTTCGCGCAGGTAGGGAGGGATTTTGACCCCCTGCGATCTCAAGAAATAAATAAGCTGGAGACACCAAATTCATAAAGTGTGATGATCTGCATGCGAACTCCCTTGTGTCAAAATTTTAGGTAGGTAGGTCGTGACCTTCAGGTCAAATTAGGTCAAACAACGTCAAATCCTAGATTGGTATCGAAAGTGCGCCCAGACGTCTTATGCAATCGCCACGAAGCTAGAGCCCTGTTCTAAGCAAGAGGTCATTAGTGCTCATTTCAGGTCATCGGCCTTATCTGACCTTTGTGAGGTGATAGTTACCAAAATCATACAAGTCTGATTTGATTTTTGCATATGAACAAACGTCAAAGGTTACGCTAGGCGGCATGTTCCTAAAAACAAAATGTATACCTTTGTCATTTTACGTCAGTGGCCTATTCTGACCTTTAAAAATCCATGAGTGATGTGTGATGCGACCTCTAATGTTAACAGATTTATAATGAACACCAGAAATTATCCCCATACAGCAAGATTTCGAGAAAATATTAGGTTGGTTTTGACTTTGGTCTGGCCTTCATATCTGACCCTAGGCCAAACACTGTTGCTGCATCAGATCTAACGATTCCCTAAAAATTTTCTTCGCTGAATCCATGGCCTGACTTTGAACCGCTATAAGTCAGCGACCTTACGAGGTACATGTAAGCTTGTGTTACCCAAAAATCCGCCATTTAGATTTCCACAGCTTTGTGGCCCGCTTGAAAATCGTTCTGGAAAGTTTGGGGTCAGATTGACTCCTCTTCCCACCTAAGCGCGTGATAAAATCCAGGACGCAAAAGGTCGGGCGTTGAAAAGTTTCCGGAGGAAAGCCATTGGACCTCTAAATGTGCACTAATATTGTGGCTTATGCAAAGGAAAAATGATTCAGGGAAAGAGCGCTGGGAAATGAGGAAGACTTTCGATTACCTAAAACAGCCTTTTGGAGGTGGATTCTCTGGCATGAACCAACACCCCACGACTGGAATGTTTTACCTTGAACCAGCGTTACTTACCGGACACCTGCAATGATACGAGATGGAGAAACGTGACCTGAACTCCTTTGACCTGGCACGTCCGGTTACCTGCACGATAATACTCAAAATGAGCTAACTGTGGTCTAGCAAATAGGGGGCAAAATCGGCAAGGCGACTCCTTCCAGCTGCCCCCTCGCGGAGAAACGGCAAGGCCAGTGACCTGACGCGGCGAACCTGCCAACACACTGGTTACACTGGACCACTCCCCCTTCCTATAATCGAATGCAGCTATTATATCGAGACAATTTAATGACAATCATCGAAGGCACAAGTCAATATCACCCTGATCACACGCACCCGGGTGGCTGGCTAGATACCCCTCGCTCAGGTGGTGGGGGGTTCAATTTGACTTCCCTGAGATCTCGGGAACTAAGAGAGCTAGAGACACTAAATTTACAGGGTGTCTTGACCTGCACGTGGGCTCACTCAGGTTAAGGTTTGAGGTTCCTAGGTCATGACTTTTGGGTCAAATAAGGTCTAACAGGGTTCGTGCCTCCAGAATCTAGCTAACTGTTCTAAACACAATGTCACATGCTCATTTAAGGTCTGTGACCTTGTTGCACCTTTTGAAGGTCATGATGATTAGAATCATACAAGACTGCTCTGAGTTTGACATTTGAATAAACAACAAAGACTACGTTAGGCGGTATGTCTCTAAAAACAAAATGTTGACCCTGGTCATTTTAGGTCAATGACCTATTCTGATCTTTAAGAAGTCAATGGAATATGTATAATGCGGTTTCTGCCATCCATAAATTCGAAATGAGCTCCAGAAACTATCTTATACAGCAAGCCCTAGAGCATTAAACAAGGTTGGTTTTGACCCCTGTACGACCTTAATACCTGACATAAGCTCAACTAAATCTGCTCATTCAATATTTATGTTGCCTAAGAAAGCATTTCAGAGATGTGTGGCTTCGTGTAACACTCCGTTGTTGCATAAGAATGGACGATTCCCAAGAAATTGACTTCGCTGAAACCATAGCCTGGCTTCGACGTGCCATAAGTCAGCGACCTTACAAGGTACACGATCTGTTATTCAATTGCCTACAGCTATGCAAAATTTGGCGCGGCTGCGCCGCGCCGCTCGGAAACCATTCTGGAAAAACCTTCGGGGGGGATCAATTTGACCCCCCACCCGAGCGTGTGATCATAGAAGTTGACCTTTGTACCATGTTTGATGACGCAGGGTTATGATTCAGGGTGATTACCATGTGTGATAGCGTCACAGGGCATGTAAGAGAATTCTAGGAAAATATCGGCGTTTTGAGACGTCATCGAACTCACGAACACCCGTATATATGCTTGTAGAGATCTCCATCCAGCCAAGTGAGAAAACGACAACTTAATGTTGGCGACGATCAGGAGTAAGCTCAAGTCATGTCAGATAAATCCAGGTTTGGTTAAGGAACGTTATGTCTTTTCCTTCTGAGTTATAGATCTATGATTACTTATGGAGGCAAGTGCAACAGCTATTGGTGTAAAACGATGTTTATTTTGCCGGGTTGATTTTTCACCGATGAGAGGTACAAATCACAAATTCCAGTTTTAAGTTGATCTGACGGTTCATTGACCTTTATGCGATTTATTAAGTATTAAGTCAACAGACAAGGAATATTTTTGACGCACCTCCAGTTAAGCACCAAATATCCTGAATGTAAGATCGACGTCCTTCGGCACCAGATTTGTTAGTGCGATTCCCATAAGATGGCAAACTCTTTTGCGTGATGTAAGAATGCATGAATGCATTTCTCTGCAAGCGAGAAAAGTGAAAGTTAGCGTTAAGCAGGGGATGCAAGAGAAACCCCTTATAGCCTTCAAAACGAAGGATGTATATCGTTTGGAATTAACTCGCGCCTGGCCGGGGGAAGATGACTTTCCCCTCCCATCTATGGTTGTCGAAACATGGATACAAAACGAACAATTGCAGCAACAGCAAATTTTAGTGCTTGTTCATCTATCGATTTGGCATCCTTTGTGTAAAGCTAAAGCTTTGATCTATCAAGACCAGTGGCCTCTTGGACAAGATCATGTCAAAAAGGTTCTAACAAATTTTGACCAAACAAAAGTTTTTCGCAGCTTATTTGCCCCTGTTAAAACCTGCCATGGTAATAGATCATGATAATATTGCCAGTTTGCATCTTTCATATTTCAAAATGTGTGATCTGATACCTAAAGTCAAGTCAATTTGTGCAATTTTTCCCAAAATAATGCACAATTTTTACTTATTTTTTACATTTTGGTGTTTGTTCATGCAAAAAGCGTACTACCATGTTCAACCATCATATGACCACAAAGCACATAACTTTGGCCCAGGTCAGGAGCTATCTCTATGAGTATCTTGTGCAAAATCCGTGCAGTGCTCAAAATAGGTAGTTTTACAGATTAATTTTGGACGTAGAGTTATAATTATCCAATGAAAACATGTCGTGGCATCATTTTCATCCATAAGGAGGTTACGATAGGCCATATGAGGGCATGCAAGTTCATATGGGGACGTGCAAGTTCATATCAGGTCATTTAAAGCCAGTGAACTATGTTGACAGTAGCGGAGAGGGTAAATGAACGAATACGACGCTTGTAACCACTTCCTTATCGTGTTTGTGAAGCTGATGACGTCTAGTTTCATGTATCAACGTGCCTGTTCTCAGTTTGTTACAAATACATTGTCAAGCATCGAGGGGACTACGTATAATGAAGACAACAGCTATGCGATATTGAGTACCCGTATATGTACAATGCACTTTTTGTGACCACAGAAAAGCTTGGTACTGGTCACATATCCCCGTAAGCACTTCGTTTTCTTAATTAAATGGTTTATAAATTTGGCTTAGATTGATCTCACCTGACCTCTAGGTCACGTTAAATCGGTGTCTTTGCGTCTGAAATACTTTTATCCCACAGCTGCATCTAGTGAAATTAACTTGATCAGAGGCGCATTGTGAAGAAAAGTATCGTTATTGCAAGCTACGGGTACATCATTTTTGAACGGTGACCTGATCTGACGTAATTTATGTGGGAGACAGAAATGGGAGGGACGGATTCCCCACAGTCTTAATACCGACTTCCGTGCCGTTAATATCCCTCTTGAGGTGCTGTTAAAGGTTTTAACTGCATCTATCGGAACGACCGCTCTTAGAATTTCGTGGCCTCTCGTGGCCTCACATTTGACCTAAGGTCAAAAATGTGATGTGCATCTTCCATGAGCACATAAGACCTTCAAAACAATACCTTTGTTTTTTCATACGGCGTCTAGAAGTTAGAGATTCCAGGGTGACAGGTCAGCTCCCCCCCCCCCCCCCCCCCCCCCCCGGGCGCAGCTGTCTCAGACCCCCGGCCGGGTGCGGGTTGACGACTCATGAACCGAAAGCTCTGCAAAATTGGAAATCAACGGCGTAGCTCCGCTAATCTGGGCCCGATATCTTGAAAGCCCTTGCTATTGCATGGCGTCGACTCAGCTCTTGTCGTTCTAATTTCGGCAGTGTCCACATATATTCACACTAAACAAACAGTTCATGTATGTAAGGCGGATTACAGGCTCACAGTAACATATGCATTGCATTGAGGTGCTACGTGTGCAAACCTAACAAAGAGTCATCTCTTAAAAAGCTGACCGGGCATGGACACCTTCGGTGACCTGCTGTGGCCTGGGCCGCTGGCCGCTGGCCGCTGAGCGCCGCTCGCCACCGGCTGTTGGACATACCTGGCCAGCACCGTCCAGGTGGACGCGGCGGGCTCGGCGGGGTCGGCCGAGCACTGACCGCGGAAGCCGCGCACCACCGCCTGCTGGCGCGTCGGACAGCCGACGTCGAACACCTCCGACTCGGCGGCGCGATGCTCTGATATCGGCGTGTGCAGGTAGTCACGGACACCGGACTCGACGCGGGACCGGTACCGCAGGTGAAGCACCTGCCGCCCAGGCGCGGCCGTTGTACAAACAGTCACGGCAACAACACGACAGGAAGCCGTCCACATGTGGCGTCAGCGACCGCCGGGGACAAGCAAGACCAGGTGTTTGGGGAAGGGGCCTTCACCGGCTGAGTAAACTGATGTTTTCGCTTATTCAACGGGTAGCAATTAATGTAGGGTAGGAAACTGGGGAAATTGAGGGTAAGGGTGCAGCTGAACGTTTAAAGAAATATCGTGCGATATTTTTTATTGTGCTTCTCTTGGTCGCAATGACCATATTTCACACAATTCATTAAATTATGGGAGTAACACGGGTGCGGGTAAGAGCAACGTGTTCTTCTCACCTACAAACTGAATGGAAAACTTGTAGCATAGGAGGCAGGTGGGCAACAACAGTCAGGAATGAGAAGAGGGTGGGGTATGGTGAGGACCCGGCCCGCAACGGGTAGGCTGGGTTATGATGATCCCGGCTGTAAAGTTATCAGGAGCTAAGCACGTATTAAAATGATGGGCGTGATTGTGACTGGGCGCCATTCCTCTTACACTGATATGCTATTACCATTTTGTTGCAGGAAAACATCAAAGTTTGTTTTTACTATGAAAACTATATTTGGGAACGTCTACCTGCACCTCCAATGTGGTCGATATGAAAACTGAGGATTTGGGTTAAATAACTCAGAATTAAGACATTTCACAACCAAAATGCAGGACTAGTTTTTCAACGAACAAAAAAAAAACGGAACGACGGGTCAAATGCTGCATTGTGGTTACATCCACAGTGTAAGGTGGCGACAATGCAGCATTTGAAGTTTGCGATGGTTAATTGTGTGCAATATTTTCCAACAGTAGCATCGCTTTGGTAATCTTTGGTCATAATTACGCTCCATCTTTCGTTTTGTTTCAAACAGCTTGTATCATTTAGAGGCACATTCAGTGCCAGAATAGTTGCTTGAAAATCCAGAGTTATAAATCGTTCTACAAAAATTAAAACACCCCTAGCTCAAAACATCTAGGACATAGATGTTTGGCACAGGAATGTTGCACTTCTTCAAGGCAAGTCCAACTGATACACTGCATTAAGCTGCGTACATGACACTGAAGGAAACGCAATCACCTGATCCCAGTATTTGTGCGCGGGCATATCTGGGTACATCGATGCCAGTTTCTGCTCCCTCGTGCAGGTTACCGATGCTTTCACCATCTGGAAGACGATCAGGTTACGTCGGGTCCCGGACTTATTTTGTAGCTTCAATTTTCTAACTTTGGTTAAGGCTGAATAGAAAACCTTCCTGTTCTTGATGAACTTTGGCTAAGATTAAATAGAAAACCTTTCTGTCCTTGAGAACGTTTGCATCTCAATTACACTGACATATCTCCAACGAGTATTGTATAGAAATAGTGGCGGAGCAAGAGATGGAATCATTGTTGGTTTGAACGCTCAGTCCCTACCTTTCATGCATGAACCTGACAAAAAACGAACTCAGAGTCCGACTCTTGTCTTTCCTTGGCACTTGACATGAGTCCAAGTCCGAATCCAATCTATTTGCACGGCTCGTGAGTCCGTGCGAGTCATTGGACATTATTTCTCATTGTATCTAGCCTAAACTGTCCTTCACAGCCTCGCGTTTTCTGATAAATGAATTAGTTATTCCCGGTTGAAAATTGAATGAAAATTCGCTCCATTCAGAGTGCCAGGTGTCTAAGATATAAGTCTGATGAACCTGATTCGCATGAACGCATGAATCTGATTCACATAGACATATTAAGTCGTAGGCCTAGCTCGAGTTTTGAGCTAGAGCCCGGTTTTGCGAACCGAGGGTTTTGAATCCGAGCGAAATTCATCTCGTAGATGAACCGACTCACTTAAGCACGAGCCCCTCAGTTAGAGTGGTCCGAATCAGAGCCACACTGCCTATAGTGAAGCACAACGGGCATTTATAATGATTACACTATCACTACGGTTGCCGAGCATTATGCGTGCTGGCACAATTTATGTAGCTTAAATCAGACACAGCGATATACAGCGATACACAGTGGCATAGTTGCGATCTACAACTGCACCGAGTGCTAAAATATTTCACTCATCCCTAGCCCGTTTACGCTTCATTGCATTACGACACGATAAATACGTAAACATTTTCGACCCTGGTAGCCTCCCGAGATGTTCCTAAGTTGAAATATGCATATGGAGTAAAGGGAAAGCTGGCATATATGTGCACAATCTTTGTCTATAGCCATACACCTGCTGTAACGCACTAACTGTACAAGCAGCCGTGCACGTCGCTGGGGATGGCCGACGTTCTGCTGTCACCTTTCGAACACCTGGCGCAGGGTCGTGCATGCAGAACTCATTGCCGAACCGGAACACGCACGCTTGATGGAAGAGACATCGTTGGAGGGTCGGGCAGAACTGGTCATCCTCGTCTGTGGGCATACAGTGTCAGGCTTCGTAGCTTCGTCACTGATGAGGTTTGGCGGCCGCTGCCCAGTCTGGCGCGGTGCGCATGCGTAAGCGTGTCGTCAGGACAGAACTCACGGAAGTTTTTGTTTTATCGTCAAATGGGCTCACAGTTTAGCACCGAGATCGGTCAGAGTCCCACGCTGTCAGTTTTTCAAAACATTCCCCCCCCCCCCTCCCCCCCCACCACCACACCACACATTGCTCTGTTGAGTTACACTCCCGAGAGATGAACAGAGAGCTAAACGGGGGCCAGGTCGGCCAGACCACCCGCGTGCGTCTTAGAGATGGTTGGCGTCACCGCTGCCACACACGTCATAAGGCATTCAAGTTAAAAGTTATATTATATTATTATATAACCACAAGTTATGAGGTATTTTCCGCCCTTGCTCTCAGCAGACATGCGCATGACATCGCGCGGAATAAAAGCCGGCGTCTCGCTGAGCCGGAGACGCCTCCGAAATCGAAATAGTTTTGGCCAGGCACAGTGGAGGCCATTCCTTTATGAATGCATTTGGGACAGAGAAGGCCTTGACTCGGGCCTATTTTGCGGAGTCAGCGTTGAGGTGACTGACTGAAAATGTAAATGACATCAAATATAATTGTGTGTTGGTGACAAACAAATAAATTTCACTGCATGCATCAAGTTGCATGTCCATGGGACGTACCGGCAGTCGACTACAAATTGCGTTCGGCCCCTCCAAGTCAGTCAGGATCATTTCAATGGGCGCAGACATGGAGTAGGAATCGATTTCGCCCGAGCTGCATAAAGCAAATAACTTGTTCTCAGCAACCTCTTTCCTGCCATCCCAGCTTAAATGCAGTTCCCTGTTCAGTTTGGAGGAGGGCCTCAGTGCCCCAACTTTAAGATAAAAGTTGGCCGAATCCGGGAGGTAGTCCGTTTTAAGCGAATTGTGGCGGCATTTTTCATAAGTTTCAATGGTTCGGGTCAGGTGTGGAACTTTGTATCTCTTGGGGAGCCATGCCCCCTCCCCTCCCACCCCCCCCCCCCCGCCCCAATGTTGAGCTGGGCCCCCAAAGTCGGGACTGCTCCTGCCCCCTTGGGCTGGGAGATTGGGCCACCGCCATGTTTTGCTCAGCCTTCGATACCCTATCAGTTCTTTGAAGTAACGATAATGAAAGATTTTGTAGGGATCACAATTTGGTATTGAAGACAGACTCATATAACACAATTTTCCATAGCTTGTTAAAACGAAACCCATCAAAAGTTCCATTTTGTAAGTCCCTAACCTCAAAGTGGATGTTTGTGCGTTATCAGGGCTTTACGACGCTTCTGAGACGATATGGCGACGCCTGCCTCTTACTCCGGCAGAAAGGGCGACGCCGCGGGAATCAAACTACACAGTGAATGGTGAAATGCAAAAACAACCAGTTGCACATATTGTCTAACTGGTAATGTCACTCGCTTGACATGCCGCGACGCGAATATTGAAATATTGGTGGCGGTAGCAGAGAGCGGCAAAACTATAGAATTCGTAGACTTTTGACACGATATTCTTTCTTGAAGTAAAACATGCGGTCAGTTTCCTGAAATGTAAGTAGCATACTTTGTATCGTTAATATGAAAATATCCAAATCGTGTACCGCATGTTTTGAGCGCACTGAGAGTACGCGAATTTCCTACATTCTTATTGAGGAATGTGACAGGAGCGGCGCGTAAAAATATGAGTTCTAGGCATCAAAAACATTAATATTGAATGTAATGCGCACCCGGCACGTAAAATTGTAGTATATTCTAACTGTAGAATAGTTGTAGCATCGAATAGTAATAGCATGCAAAAGAAGCGGGTTTTGTAATGAGTAATATACACAATACCCAATATGCAATACGTGCGTGTTTCGTACACAACAAATGCCTGCGCATTTTCATATTGTTTTAGCATGTTCAGCACCACGGACTCATAACACTATGGCGTAGTATGGGTGGCTCGCGATGCTGCAACTGCCAATTCCGTGCTGAGAATCCACCTCAAAATCGTATAAACAAATCGTCCCGGTCAGGAGCTGCAGGGCCCTTTCGTCCAAGCCCAGGGTAACTGGCAACTGCTATTCTGGCGGCACGGGGACCGGGGTACCCTGGTCAATTCGGAGCCGCTAAGAGGAATACATTCTGCGCCGGTCCCATCTCTGATGAGGCAGACTCTCTGACCTGGACATCTGACACAGGACCGACACAGTGACACGTCACTGCCGAGACGCCACTGTGGCTTATCGACCCACCCATGCCTCCTGGTCGAAACGGTGTGGAGGGCCCCGCGTTCGGTACCGCGACCCTTGACTGGCACAGGTCACCGTCTAATCGTGAGTTCAAATCGTTGCACCATCATCTCTCATGCCTCCCGGCATTGTCAATAGTGTCCTGGTCAGCGCAAGAGGCCTTTTGACATTCGAGATCCCGCTCTTGTCGCTGTTCAGCAAATGTGCCCATGGCCGGCTTTGGGCTTACTGGCGACAAGGGGCCCCTTTTGTGAACCCCTGATCAGCAAAGGGGCCGGATCAATGCACGATCCTGCGGATTGATATTTGTAGACCAGCCCTGGCCCTATTTGGGAAAGAGGCCCCAAGGGCCAAGACCGGCGCGAAACGGAGTGCTTGGTACTGCCTACTGACTGAGGTCCCTTCCCCCCCCCCCCCCCCAGCCTGCCCTTCGGGCCCCTTCGCCAAGTGTTCCCAAAAATATATCCTTTAAAAACAGGAATGCTACCGACAAGCTTTTGGTGTCAAAATACACGCCATAGATGCATCAAAGGGTGCCGAAATTTTGGGTGTGATTGCACAGTACGCCGGAGAGATGTCCTTCCCCTCCCCTCCTACCGGAGCGAGAGTTAAACTTGATATTCTCGATGGTGATTGACACTCCACTCCATGTTATGTTACATGATAGATTAGTAAATCCTCAGCAAGGTTCATGGACGTGATGCTGCGGTGAATTGACCCCACGATAGCATCGTGGGTGAGTGACACATCTATCCAGGTCTTGGAACGGCTGTCCGTAAGAACTTTTGTTTAGTACGGAGGCCTTATCCATACATAAATAGTGTAAGTGGTCGTAACTCCAATTGAAGGTTTCTGGGGTAATTAATCAGCCTATGTTATAGGATAACATATTTTCAAGTCAAGTCGAATGATCAAATTCCATTTGTCCACATATTTAAGTTCCATATATCCACTGCTGAGAGACAGTGTGAGCCTCAGTGGGCCTGGCCTTCGTCGGGTGTGGTACTTAGTTGCCGGTTAGCGCGCTCTGGCGGTGGCCAGATCAACAGCGTTGCACTCGATGCCACCCACACCCTGGTCGGGTAGTCGGGATCGGTGGCCTGGGCGTGGTTGGCATCAAGACACCCATGGTGGTGGCTGACTGCCCTGCACTGTCACTACCCAGCCAGGCAATCAGCAGTTTCGTTCCGATTATTCAAACTGGGATCACCCAGTCTCCAGTGCAGAGTCAGGCTTTGAATTGATTAGAAATGCGTTCGCCAGCCTCTGTAATTTAGCACAATGGAATAAGGATTTGGCCGTTAAACGCGTTTCGGGCAACAGCTGACGTGATTTTGGATCCGCGATAAGTCGGGTCTCGTGGATACGCTTGAGGTGCGAGGCCGACAGATTGTGCATAACGTCCAGCGCCTCAAGATAGCGATCAGCTTGGTATCCCCCCTCCCCCCCCCCCCCCCCAGAGACTCGGAACATACTCTTCTTGTATGCCGTCCAATCGCGTGCAAAGTTTTTGTTTCCTTCTTGGATTTATTGCGCGTGTTTTGACATCAAAAGCGTGCCCCTAGCAATTTTGCTTTCTGAGAAGCTACTGGCTTTCAATAACACTGCACGGCGATCCACGGCTAGCACGGACGACGGGCGGGATCTAACGATGCACACAGCACTCTCGCATTATCGAATGCCCACGTCTAAGTGTGTGTAGAAACAAGCCGTTTTAAATGTTGTGTCACTGCGGGGTATGACCTTGTAATTAAGGGCGTGTGAAGCTAAAAAAGCCGACTTTCAGGAAAGCTTGACCTTTAACTTGGCATAGCAGAGCCTATTATTGACCACGCCATATGCAACTTATTGTTAGTCATAAGGTGTTGTTCAACCCCACCGTCTGTTTCATTCTGAGAGACCCTATCTGTCTTAGTTTGGAAACGGTAGCGGATGGCATTAACCTCCACTTTCCCCCTATCAGTCCTCGTCATGAAAAACGGCTAATCAGGGCTAGGATTAAGCGCTGTGTAGCTCGGTATCAGTGCTTCCCAACTCCCGCGTCGGACAAGCGGCTTCTCCTGTGTCAGACACGCGGCCGCGCCACTGCCGAACGTGAGCCCGACCTAGTACCGAACACGAACCCACTCCAGTGCTGGACACGTGATCTCTCCTGTGCCAGACATGCGGCCTCTCCTGTGTCAGATATACTGGCTCTCCTGCGTCGGAAACACAGCCACCCTGGTGCTGGACGGCTGCTGCTGTACCGAAATGCGGCCTCTCACGTGTCGGCACGCGGCCAGTCCAGCGACGAACACGCGGCCTTTCCTGTGCCCGACGTCCGCTTCTGTCCCCGACACGAGGCCCTTCTGTGTCAGACGCCCGGGCGCTCCTGTGGCGGACGTTCGACAGCCCCAGTGACCTAGACGGCGACACTCCAGTAAGCGGCTCAACGCCGCTACAATGAGGTAGACTAGACCCGCACGCTCTGTTAAGATTCAGAACATTAAAATGGCACAGTGCGAGTCAATGCAACAAATATGTCGCGCCTTCCTCTGTTCTCACGAGTTCATGATGTGTGGCCATTAAGTCCTAGGTCCAAAGGTGAAACACATGATGCGTTTTACGTGAATATGCCAATGAAACGTTGGCGGAGAAATGCTATGGGCTGTCGTGATACGCACGCTGCTTTATTGCTGGTGGAGAGCGGTGAGTTTTAAAATCAATCGCTGGTCTGAATCGATCCGAA